CCCATCACCCACTGCCTTTGTGTCCCTCTTTCCGCCTCTTGAAAGGTGGCGTGGTCGCTCCCTAGTTTGGGCAGGGACAAATAATACCACTGTCATAGATACCAGTGTGCAGTGTTCCGTATGGACCCCGGCTTTCTAAGAGTAGTTCCACATCTACAGAGGCGACCTGAGGAGAGCTTGGCCTCCTTGCTTCCCGGCTGGCACAGTGCCATCTGAGGTCTTCACTGCACTGTCAACGCCAGGCGCAGCATGGGCACTTGAGCCCTGCCTGGCGTTCCCGTAGAGCTCCCCAGGATTTGCACCGCTTTCCCTTTCCTGTTTCATGATCCAAAGCAGAGAGACACTGGCTCTGGTGCTCGTGATTTCCGTGTGAACAAGTAGCAGCGGTGTGGGTCCCGAGCGCGTGAGATGTAGAGGTGTTCGCGTGCTGAGAGCATGAATGTGCAAACCCACCAGCCAGGCGGAGCCCGTGCGCTCTGCCGGTGGGCGCCCCGTGCGCTAGGAGCCACGTGGCAGCAGGCGTGCGGCCGGTGTCTGGCCTTGGTGGCTCGTACATGGCTTCAGCGCACGCTGCAGAAGCTGCTGTTTCTAAGCAGAACACGCAGGCACGCGGGGGAAGGTCACTCCAAGGCACGCCGTCCGAGGCTGCAGAGGGGGGCCGAGTTGTCCAGGAGCTGTCACTGCCGCACTGCACGTCCCTCCAGGCCAGCAGTCAGGAAGCCTCTAATGAGTGTCTCCAAATGTTTTCCCTGGCAGAAGGACTCCATGAAAGATGACAGAGGAAGCCATCGTCATAGCCAAGTGGGACTACGCTGCCCAGCAGGACCAGGAGCTGGACATCAAGAAGAATGAGCGCTTGTGGCTGCTGGATGACTCCAAGACGTGGTGGCGGGTACGCAACGCGGCCAACAGGACGGGCTACGTGCCGTCCAACTACGTGGAGCGCAAGAACAGCCTGAAGAAAGGGTCGCTGGTGAAGAACCTCAAGGACACGCTGGGTGAGTTGCCCTGGACGGGGCTCTCGGGCTGGGGAGGGCGTCCGCAGGGACCCGGCAGTGGAGCGGCCGCCTGTGAGGGTCCAGAGCTCTGCCTCTGGCTTCCGTCAGTTCTTTTTCTTTATTCCCAAAACTCGTTCAGTGGTCGTGTGGCACAGGGGAGCCAATGGACTGTTCCCCGAGATGGACAGCCAGGCACTCTGGTTACGCTGGCGGCTGGGGCACTTAGACCCACGATAGCAAGGGCACCCAGGCAGCTGGGCCACCCAAGGGAGCTCCAGCAGGCGTGGCTTGTGTGGCTCTCCCCACATGCCTCTCTGCTTCCCTGGTGTCTCCCTCCGCTCTGTCACTGTTTTGAAACCCCCGAGGCTAGGACACTTTAAAGAAGAAAGGTTTAGTTTGGACTAGTTGTGGTCTGATGGCTGCTTACTGGCAGGGCCTGAGTGCCCACAGCGTCACCTGGTGGCCAGAGACGTGTGTGCACCACGTGCCTCCTGGTCTGTCTTGTGAAGCTGCCAGCGTTCAATCCTGGGGTCCTGACCTGCCCCCCCCCCCGCTCCCATCCTGGCTCAGAGGCCCCTGAACGCTGCAGGGGGGCTGCACTTCCATCCCCAGTGCCTGCCTCATCATGGGGTTACAGTTCCAAGATGCATCCTTGGGGCCACACGGCCACGGGGGCAGGACACGGAGCTACCTGGGGGCTCTTGTGATGGCTGGCGTTTGTGGTTGCTCCCTCCCTGTGGGAACTGGAGGGTGCTTCCGCCAGCTCCACCGCTGCGTCTGTCACCTGCAGGGCTGCCTCCGCAGTGAGTCACCATGGTCACAGACATCGCTTCACTTCAGCAGGGAGGGTGAGGGGTGCCTGGGAAGACAGAAACGAGTGCCTCGGACGCGGTGGGCGTCACACGAGGCGTCGCTCTGCACATCTGCGTTGGAGCGCGCTAGAAGCCGCACCAGTCTGTTTGCTAGCACTGTCCTCTGGTGCCTCTCGGGGGAGTTTTCTCCTGGCCCGGAGGGAGAAGCGAGGTGCCGGGCTTGGTGTGACGCACGTGGCTCGCGGGCCAGGGAAAGTGTTTTCTGAGCTCTCGGCTCTACTGAACGCTCTCCCTTGTCCGCATTGTCTTTCTGTCCAGAAGCGTGGCACTCGATGGTAGCGCTCATCCCTTGCTTCCGGCTGCTAGTTAACTGTGTAGCGGGAGAGGAGGGCACCTTGAATATAAACACGCAGTGTTTTCCGGGGCGGGATCTTTTGTTTTTCCACCTCCAGCCTCCACCGCAGTGCCATTTTAGTAATCCTGAACGCTGCTGACCTGTCTCTTGTCCCTTCCTATTTCTCTTTTGTAAGTTTTTTATCTCACAATTAGATAAGTTGGCGGGAGACCAGCTGAGGCAAGCCGGTCTTCCGGGCTCCCTTGAAATTCTTTCAGAATCGTTGGTTTTCCTCATTGTTTTGGAAGGGGACAGACGGGGCCCCCCAGCAAGACGGTGCCACACTCGCTCCCCGCGTGCTGGGGTTTTCCTGGCAGCGACCACCGTGAGGTGCCCAGGCCCTGGGGGTGCTGCTGAGCCCGACAGCTCGCCCTCGGCCCAGGCTGACAGATGCCACCCAGACCTTCTGGAACGGAGTACTGCTCTGGCTCCTCCAGTCAGCCAGTTCCATTTTTGGAGAACGCAGATTGTTAGAAAGCTCTTCCTTAAATAGAATTGAGCTTTTGCATCTCCTTTTCTTCTCCTCTGCTCACCCTTGGGGCTGCGCTCAGCCCACCGTTCCTGGGGCATGGTGCACCGTGGCTCCTGCTCAGGTGAGGCCGGTTCCTGGGCAGTGTGCGTCCTGTGGCTAGGACACGGCTGTGTGGAGTCCCCTTGTGCTGACTTACCATCCTTCTAGGCTCAGTCAGAAGTCTCGGCCCAGTGGCCTGGGGACCCCGTGCCCCATCATCAGCAAGATGAGGTCTCTGGTCTTAATCTTTAGGCTTTGGTGTATGTGCTGGGCTCACCTAGGCAGAGAGAGGGAGGAAGGCTCCCCTTGTTCCCCGAGGGCATCGGGGCCCACTTTGAAGACCTGCTCTGCACGGGGGCCTGGAGGGCAGCCTTCCTTGCCACAGCCTGATGTTCCCTCTCCTGCGCAGTTGGAGCCCAAGCCGGTGTGGCTTCCCGTCTGGTCTCCTCAGCGGGAGCAGAAGCGATCTTTCTTGCTGAGTCCTAGAAGCGAAAGCTGTAGGTGCCTAGCCTTGGAGGTCCGGGCAGAAGGTCCCTAGCAGACGGCTGGTGGACGAGGAGCCAACTCTCTGGGTCACGTGTGAAGGGTGAACTCTGCCTCCAAGCCCGGCCTGCACGGCCCGTGTTCTCAGGCTCTTGTGCTGAAGTCTGCAACAAACTTGGATGTCACAGTTGGTGCTTTGCTGGAGGAAGCTGAAGAGGGCTGTGCGTTAACTGGGAGCCCTGCTTCCCGTGGCAGCGCTGGGGTGCCCTTCCTTATTTGCACATGTGTGTGTATGCTTGGGGATGGTGGCCACCCTCTGACCTCCTTGTGCTAACTTGGTCGTGGGTGGCCGCGCGCTACCCGCAGACAGCGAGTGCAGGACCCAAGTGTGTCCACCGCCACCGGCCAGGCAGAGCCCACTTGGTGTGAAATGCTCTACACTCCCTGCTGGCCGGCCGGCCTTGGCCTTGGGGCCAGGCTTGCCTTCTGAGCCCTGAGCCCTGCGGCACTGTTGGGGGGCCGTGGGGAGTCCTCAGGTGAGTGTCTTCTGCCCCTGCTGCATGTCCACTCAGGACTCCGAGTGGGGTCCACACGCTCCTCTGCAGCACCATGGAGGAGTGGGGGTCGAGCAGCCTGAGGAGGACTGCAGCTGGGCGCTGAGCAGGTCTGGCGGGGCAGCCGCTGGGCGGTGTCTATGAGGCTTCTCTCGGCTTCTTGAGAACAGCTTTTGGTGCCCCCAAGCAGCCACCACTGCCCGAGTCTGAGCCTCTTGCCAGGTCACTCGAGGGTGCTGGCTTGAGTTCGACAGAAAGGCGGGGTCCACTGGGGCTCGCCCAGCAGCCGCCCCCGAGGATCTGCTCCTGCCGTCTCAGAGCCTCCAGCCACAGGCCCTGTTCCTATGGCGGCTGCCTGTATGTGGGAACACCTGTGTGGGTGACAGCTGGGGCTCAGAGAGGCAGGTGCTTTGGGACAGGATCGGGACTCAGGTGAAACTGACGTGGTCCTCAGGCCACCCTGCGGATTGTCATGTGGCCATCTGCTTCCTCATCAAGTCTACACTTACTAAATGTGGCGCACAGAGCCCCTAGTCTTGCAGCCGCCGTGCTCTGTGCTTTTCTGGGGACTCTCGAGGCCTGGCAAGTGGCAGACTGGGCATGGCTTCTTACTACCCAGACAGAGGGGCTGGCATCAGACTCCACATGCAGGCCAGGGGCAGGCAGCGCTGCTGTGGCCATACGCAACCAGTCCTCGGGACTGTCCCGGGGCCCATGCTTGAGGGCCACGTCCTCCCTCTGCTTCTGCTCAGTGTCCACTCAGGTGGTTTTAGGGGTGGTCAGGGAGACCCAAAGAAGGGCGCTAGGCAGGCGGCTGAAAGAGTCTCGCTAGGTGCAGACCCTGAGGCAGGCAGGGACAGGTACAGGGGGCACAGGAGACCACTGGCCACTTATTGATGACTCCCGGGAGAGGTCGGCCCACGCTCCTCTCCTTAGAAGAAGGAACAACCTGATTTGCATTGAAGTGACTTCTTTATCAAGTCTGAGGTTAGAATTTGAAGGACTAACACCTGAGCTCCCGTTTATGTGGCAGACGCCTGCCTGGTGCCTTTGTCTGTTGGGGCCATGGCCTCTTGTGGACACTGGGCCATCGCTTACCGCTTAGCTGCCATGCAGCCACCCTGGCTTGTCCAGTGGTGGTCGTGCAGTGCTCCCAGAGTGTTCGGTGGGAGCGCTGCGTCTTGGTCTCCACGTTTGTTTTTCCATTGTGGGGAGGGAACCCAGGGCCTTCGCAGCGGGCGCCTTCCCTAGCCCTTTGTACAGAAGCATGCTTCTAGACCGAGTCGCCCTAAACAACTGACGGCCACTTACTTCATCAGCAAGCAGTTGAGTCAAGCCCTCCTCTAAAAGATCGTGCCTAATGTCAGAGAAAAATCAAGCTGGGCACAGTTCCACACACCTGTGATCCCAGCATGAGGAAGACTACAAGTTCAATCCCAAGGGCTGGGGAGAGACCTTAGTGCTGTAGCTTAGCCTGCCTGCTGAGTGCGAGGACCCAGGTTTGATCTCCAGGATAACATACCAATCCGGCCCCTGAGACCAGGCGTGGTGGTGCACGCCTGTAATCCCAGCACTGAGGAGGCTGACATAGGAGGAGCACTAAAGTCCGAGCTGCATAGAGACCCTGTACCAAAAAAAAAAAACCAAAACATTGAGTCCCAGATGCAGTGTAGTAATTTAGCAAGACACTGTAAAAAGGGGCAGGGAATGTAGCTAGCTCGGTGAAAGCCCTAGGTTTAACTGCAATACAGAGAAAATAAATCCAGAAAAAAACACCTCTATTTTAAAAGTCCAGCTTCCCCATGAAATGATTTGCTGTCTCTTCCCGACCCACACGGGCCTGGGTTCTCACTGTAACCGTTGGCAGTGCCTTAGGCTCGCTTCTCTGAGTTGAGGGCCTGGCCTGCTCTGGTGAGCGAGAATTCAGGAGAACACACCCTCAGGTAGAGTTCGGGCACCTGCCTCCCTGCTGGCTCCCATTGGGGGTGGCTCTGCACCAGCCCTGTATGCAGCCAGCTTGTTTCTGTATGTCACACACTTCCAGGTATTCAGTATCCGAAATGTAAAACAGCTCATAGTGTAATAGCAGGAGGATAATCAGAAAACAGACTGACTGTTCTGCAAAGATTACCAGGGGCGAAGTCAGAAGCCTGGGGCTGGGCCGCGCTGTAGGAAGCTGCAGGAAGTGTCGGGGGCCCGTTGTAGGCACGTACCAGAAAGGCCGAGTCCCCGGGCCCTGGGCGGGT